CTTCTGGAGGATCTGTGGGAGCTTGTAGTACATCCGCTCCCTTATTGGGCTTTGCGCTGCAGGCTTGGATGCGTCGTTAGTAGATAGCTGACGCCATCCCGGTTCAACAACCTCCAGTATACGCTGGCGTTCCGTCCAATCGAGGTATCCGTCCGAGTTCTTGTCCGAACGAGAAATAATAAAGGACCAGAGTAAAGCTTCCCTGAACCTCTCGATGGTATAGTGGAAGCTGGCATACCAAGGGTATATTTGGAATCGTGACTCGCCACGAAACCGCTCGCATGCACCCCTTGCCGATGGCTGAGGAAAAGAGGCCATGGCCTCCTTCATCACCCTTCTCGAAACGGAATGTCCGAAATGGGCCTGAACGTGACGGTTACGTTCACCAAATCGATGGTTGAGGAGGTACGAAGTATAATAGACGAACGGTTTCTCGCCGAATGATGGTATCTGACCTTTACCTCCGAGGTGCTTGACGTTATAATGATCGCTTTTGAAGCCCATAGTCGGGCCAAACAGAGGCGAGTAGAAGTCGGAGGCGGCATGAGGCATCCCTAGGAACATGTCGTCGGATAACGCAAAAAGCTGGTCGGTCGAGGATGGAGTCATGTAAATTTGGGATTCGATCGAGAGCGAGTTAAAGGTGGGAAGACATTCCTTCTCCGTCTCGCGGAAGAAGGACTCGTGACTAAGAACCTGTACGTGCTGGCTCGTCTCATCGTCGTCTCTAAGCCAAGTCGGTCTCTGAGGACGCATCTTTGTGCCGTCCTTTTGATATGACCCACCGACCGAGTTGACGAGAAGCTGGATTTTGTTAATGAACCCCTTGGCATAGACGTCGAGGCTACGGAGAGAGTATCTCAACTCATCCCAGTCGCGATATCGGTTGATGCTGTGTTGCGATATCCACTTTCCGTCTCGGTCGTTAAGGGGCGATTCTAGCTCGTAGCTATGCCGAATATTCTTGAAGGCCTCGTCGGACCCGTTAACCCAGTTATAGACGAAATCGATCTTCGGCTCGTCCAGTGGGCCATGCTTATCAGCGTCGAAATGCCCAGCCGAAAGCCATTCATCTTCCCAACCATCTAAGGTAACATCCCGGACAGCTTCTTCAAACGATATACGGATAACGTCGGGCAGCACATGATGAAGAGCGTGCTCCTCTTTCGCCGGTGGAGATATGGATGTTGTGCTCTCTGTATTGTCTTGAGATGTCATGACAGCGCCACCGCCAACCCATTGCGACGCTTTGCTATCTAGGGTAGCATGTCGCATCAACCGGAAGGCAGTATAGTTCTGTCCTTCCGAGTGAACCGTCTTCCACTTATCTACCACCGCCCATATTAACCCCAGGAAGCAAGCCAAAGATATTATCCTCCGCATGCGCCGTGATGTGAATGTACCCTGTTCTATAGGAGAATTCGGGACATTTATGAAAAGTCGCGGTAGTATTCTTGGCGACAACATGGTTTTGGAGTAGTCGATAGGACTTTGGCTCCGGCTGGGGATAGACAAGACCGCGCCAGCCCAAACCATCCTGAGATGTTATTGCTTTCCCTTCTGCTTTGTAGTCTTAACCCCCGCTAATATTCACTGCTAAGCGTGCCCGAATCCCGACAAATAGTAGAACTTTCCCTTTCGAGTATCTGGAACGTCCCTCGGAGAAACTCCCTGACTCGTATGTAGTTGCAGAAACAAAAGAGTGGAATCACATGAGTTTGTCCTAACGTAACGATCGTGAATTGCGTGCTGTTTCTCACATGCCCCCGTCTCGGTAACTACAGGGGGCGTCACCTTGGGAAAGCCTATCTCGACGTTAAAAAGTCATGCTCGTTATCAGCTCGGAGGATATGGTCTCACGATGGTCGCGTCTCTCGGTGAGATAGATGAGGGAAGAACTCTCATAAGCAGGTAAGAAGTGCAAGGAGTGAACTGTATAGGAAACGGATCGGCAGCACACGACATATTTCCTACTCTAAGCAACTAACTTGCAAGGTCCACGGTATCGGAGAGGGGCCGAGATACATAACGAAGATCTCAACTTCTGGGATATAGAAAACTGCCTTCCAGTCCAGGTTTCCAGAATTGCCAAGCTAATAGGCTGAGAAGCGATTCCCCCCACGTCACGAGAGTAACGATAAGGGGGGACCACATGGGATCCACGGTAGTGACTAGGTCGGGTTCTTGAGGGTCTACTACCTATGTAAAGCTGAGCTCGTCAGTCACAAGCTCGAGCGTACAATTGCCGTAATCAGTCTATACATACACATACATGCACATACATACACAGTAGTCACAGCATCTAACCTAGGAGACACGCGAGATGCTAGTACTATGTATGTAGTGACGCCCATAACGATTCTGCGTCACTTAGCACGACCTACCGCGAGTTGCTTCTGAATCTAGCCCTGAACTTCACTTACTATGTAAGCTCGACATTCTGATGTGATGTCAAGGGCCTCATTCATCTCCTTCTCTTCTAAGGAAGTGCACACGTGCCACACGAGACCTCGTTTGTTTGAAGTCGCGTGCGGCGATACCCCCTTTGAAAGACCTTCCAAATGGGGCTATTATGTATCGCGATGGAGATTATTTGTTGGTCGAATGCAAGTCTACGACCGGAGGCTAGGTTTATTATAGAAGTGATCAGCTCCGAATAGGTGAAAGACGAGGGTTGGAATATCAAAGAATAAAAAAACTCACCAAACTCACCAAGCTCACCAACTTCAACGTTGCGACAGGGCAAATATCTTGGCGTGCATTGCAGAAACTCTTGGCGACATGCGATGCTAAGCCTTTTCAGAGGCTCGACTTGCTGATCCGGCACTTGTGTTGCTCGCTATTGGAGGCTTTCTGTCTTGGCAGAATCTTAATCCTTAGAGATCGACTTGGCTTCTTACCAGTTCAGCGGCTCGTCATTTTGATGATTTTGATGGTGTCGAGAAATGGTCCCCTATCTTGTACCTACTACCTAGCCTCTGGTCCGAACCCTGTGCGACGTTTCCTTCAACATGGTCCAACGGCGGAAGGATGCGGGATCTGGCATTCGATTCCTTCGGATAGACCGTATCTCTTCTTACTCCTAAATCTTAGTTTTCCAACGATTTTATTGAATGTGTTTTGAGTTGTTCTTATGAGTTGTTCTTAATATCCCAACTATCAGACGCGTGCCGAAGAATCCACTACGGTAATGCGTCAGTATAGGTAGTGATATTGCAATCTTACTTACCTTGTTACTCCTCTCAATAGTCTCGTCAAATAGCCCCGGACGTGGTGGACGTGGTGGACCAGGTCATCTCGTGGCAGATTCTTGGCTTATACAACTAGTTAGTATACCTTACGCAAGTAGCCTATCGAAGTGAATTCGCTAAAAGGAGGGACGGTGATACCTTCAGCTTCGTTGCCATATTGAAATTCATAGGTTGGCAGGAAGTGCATTGTCGGTTGAGTAACGTCAACCATGCATCTCCCCGGGCACTCAACTAGAGAGGATGAAGAGGCCCTTCTCCCTCAAATGCCGTTAGAGGAAGCGGATCGCACGAGGTGGTCATCTACATGGAGAAAGAGTCTTCGTCCGATTTCCTTCCGGCTAGCCGTTTGGCAATGCCTCGCCTTTATGAGGCCAAGTTTTCTAGCAAAGCGATCGTCAGCCGAAGAATCAGAGAAGTCAAATGCGACGTCGAGAAAGCCGTACTCGACCGAATATCTTGATGGCATTCGCGGCGTCGCTTCTCTGATCGTTTTTATTCTTCACTGGACTCACGTTCCATACCCGTCTATTAACTCGGGATGGGGATACAAAAATAATACGTCGTTTTGGTTGTTGCCGTTCGTTCGGATCATCTACTCTGGCGCCGCTATGGTATCGGTATTTTTCGTCGTCTCCGGTTTTGTGCTTTCTCACCGATTCATCCAACGGATGCACCGCCAAGAATATACCGAGTTATTCTCCGGGCTGACCTCACTTACCTTTCGCCGGGCCATTCGCCTATTCCTCCCAGCCTTCGTGTCTAGCACGATGGCCTTCATCTGCGCCTACCTCGGTATGATAGATATTCCTAAGAAGGTGGATGGGAAACCGTTCGAGCATGGCCTAACGTCGTATATCGAATACCTCGACATGGAGTCGAACCCGTGGGAGTGGACGCCTGACTTCTCTGGGTTCTATAATCCTCAACTATGGTCTATTGCTGTCGAGTTCCGGGGCTCGATGGTCGTCTTTCTACTCATCGTCGGGCTTGCAAAGACTCGGACTGCTGTTCGACTTATTGTCGAAGGCCTGCTGATGGTCCATTGCTTCGGCCATAAGCGCTGGGATCTCGCTCTGTTCATCTCAGGCATGTCTCTAGCAGAAATTGAAGTGCTACTGAGGAAGCCTAAGAATCCATCAGCGCGAAAGTTAGTAAATGGACTCCTTATACTGACTATGATACTTGGTCTTTTCCTTTGCGGCTATCCTCGAGACCACAACACCCAAACTCCCGGCTATATCTGGTCAAAATATGTTTGGCCTTTCGGTGCATATCGCCGTCGCTTTTGGTTAGCAATCGGTGCCATGCTACTTGTCGGTCCGATGGCGTTCCTACCGTCTGTCCAATCTGTATTCCTTACTCGACCAGCTCGATATCTTGGACGGATAAGCTATGCGCTCTACCTTGTTCACGGGCTTGGCAACCGAACAATTGGTAAATGGCTGCTTGACACCTGCTGGGCATTTATTGGAAAGGAAGGGCTCTGGCCTTACGCTATAAGCTTTATTATCTCTACCTTGCTATATTTCCCCATCGTGATATGGGGCTCTGATGTGTTCTGGAGAGGAGTCGATGTGCCTTCAACAAATTTTGCAAGATGGCTGGAGAAGAGATGTGCTGCGCCAACGGGTGCGAGGTAGGGGAATTTGCAAATGGATGTACATAATTTCTTTATGTTCGCCGTCTCCGAGTATATATATAAGCAATCGAGCATAAATAGAACATGATTTAACGTTTTCAGGCATTCCTTTAATGCAAACAAGCCAACGTGCTAAAGCCGTCTGTCCATCTCAGACCACCCATAATAGCTATCATACAAGCCAGCGCAGCCACAACACTAGCACCTCCATATACATACGCATGTCGTCTCCGCAAGGCCGTTAGCTCGGCTACCCACGTGGACACGGTGGTCAAGCAGCCGCAAAACCCATCCTCGATGCCTTGCAACACCTGGCAGCCGACGACGCCGCCCAGGGGAACGTGCGCGAGGTCCCACGTCATTCCAAGGACCGCAGTGCCGAATATATTGACGAAGAAAGTGCCGAGAGGGAACGAAGGGAAATACCTGTTGAGGTAGAGAGAGGTGTAGAACCGTCCGAGACACCCCAGCGGCGCGAACACCAGGGAAAAGGTTACTCGACCGCGCCATATTTCTGCTGCGCCGGGGTTGCTAAATCTGTCTGGCGGGAGCGCAGAGAGGAGGATGGCTCCGACCCAACAGCCCCATGCGAGGAAGACGGCGAATCGGTCGAGGAATTTGCGGATGAAGTTGAAGGGAAGCGAAGGTGTGATTGGCTCTAAGGCTAGCGCGAGCTGAGCTCCGATGAAGAGGCCTGATATTGATAAAGAAATAGTAGTAATGATGACGGCACAGACGGCCATGAATGAGTAACCACCATTTCGAGGAGTAGTGATCGATCCTGCGTCTGGTGCGAGAAGGTCATTAGATAGAGCGAGGAAGATATCTCGAATAAACGAGGAGAAGGACGTGAAGGAGCCGCAAAACCCAGTAGCAAGACCGATATAAAGCGGTATAGTTTTCTTGGTAGCCATATGGGCTTTCTTTACAGCAGCTTGGTCGACAGCTACCCTATCTGAGCCAGATCCGCCTGTCTCCTCGTCGACACCATTTTGTTTCGCCCGCAGGAGCTTCAACTCGTAGGTCAGAGAGCCCCGTTCGAAGCGGAAGAGCATGCGGTCTTCAGCTAGAAAGCCTAGGATGAGACTACCTGCGAAGTTGGGCCATACGGAGCTAAAAGCCACAGGAGCCCCGGCGTAAAATGTTAGGGCTTGGAGTCCTACTCGGGCGAGAGTGCCAAATAGTGCGAAGAGGATGAGATACGAGATGGTGTAGATCTCGGTTGGTAATCGCGACACATATCCTAACTTTGGTTCCTCGGTTTCCACTTCTTCACCTCTCCTCCGCTGGGCTTCTTGATTAGATGAATATTCACGCTCAATAGTCCTCCCCCCTTCAAGCGAAGGGGTAGAACGTAAGCGGTGCTCATCCCGGCTTGGGATGGGTGCTATCTCCTCTAACTCGGGTACATTTGCATAAGAATCCGGGATATCGTAGTTAGATTGCGATGTAGATGAACGACGCCGTTGCACCCGAGCTTGTAGCCGCTCCTGCTCCCTAAAGTTGGCCGGCCCAGCTGGATCTAAACGGTCCGCGTCTTCGTCTGCGTCATGGAGGTTCATGTACGACCCTGGCACGTCGTAATCTGGCAAAGATGGTTTATGTGATGAGGTCTGACTAGAAATAGACTGAGAGATATGGCTGGGCACATCGTCTCGATCGAAGTTTGAGTGCGATGGAAGATGTGACTGGCCGCCGTCCATCTCACCGTCCCGTCTCGTGATAGTATTTTAGGGTACAACGTTTGAGAAAAGAATGTAGTTAAATTAAAAATTAAAGTCGTCTTCCACGTTTATAGTCGAAATAGTCGAGATTGTTGAAATTTGATTTATTTATGATATTTTATGTCGTTAAGCGGCTGCTTGGTTTAATTCTCCTCTTGGCATGTATTTCCGGTCATTAATGTTCTTTGAGAGATATTTGGTTAGATCATCAGGCATATGAGAACCGTGTTGGACGGCAAGGCTTCGGTTATCGCCGAAATTATTCCGGAATCTAAACGCGTCTCAACGTTACTTGGGTACATGGCGATTACATAGTCTTATCTTAGGTATCAAGCATGGCGGGGCAACTGATAGGCATCTCTTCCCCGCGTTAGGAGCTCTTTGATAGGAGGTACCTAAGCAACTACTACCTAAACAGCTACGTGAGGGAGGCACTACCTAATCATTCCGGTGCCAGGTACCAATGAATGCCAATAAATGCCAACAAACGCTTGCCGCATCTCGCATCGTACTTGCGAGCTAAACCGCTCTGAAGTAAGCCGTAGAAGGATCAAGCGGTCTGGTCTGTCCATCGTACTGTAGATCCTTAACTTTGAATCTGAACCTAACGTAAACCATTTCCCGTCTTGCCCAAAACTTATCTTCTACATATCTACATACATTCATTCTCTATCGTTAGGTATAGCTTGCTTGCTTACTTGCTTACTTATTTACTTGCTAGACAGTTACATACTTTTTACTCTCTCCTACATTAGCATCTATATCTACGCCGTAACCCTAGGCAATTCGTCATGTCGCTCCCTTCAAACGTCCACGTCTCTAAGCACCCGTGCTTGGTGGCTAAGCTGAGTCGTCTGCGGTCTAAGAGTACAGAGTCTCGAGAAGTCAAGTCTTTAATAAATGACATCTCCTTGATCCTCGGATGCGAAGCTTTAGCCGCATCATTGACGCCTGTTGATGGGCCAAAGGTATCCCCCTATTTAACCGTCTCGTTCATCTACCTTGTATCATAGTGGTAGGCTACCTAATATATATGGTTAACACGGCATTTCTCTACGTAGGGCGAGACTCCTATCGGGTACGAATACACTACCACGACCCTACGGCCGGAAACCTTATCAATAGTCCCTATCCTTAGATCAGGGCTCGGTATGGTAGAAGGTGTGTCTCTTGCTCCTTTATTCTTGTCTTTGCATACGACTCTTGAACCTAATACATAACTCCAAGCGGTACAAACCCTACTTCCCGAACCCGTTCCCGTACACCACCTAGGCTTGTACCGGGAGCCCAGCACGCTCGAGCCCGTCGAATATTATAACAATCTTCCGCATCATGTCTCTACTTCGGCAGGCGAGCCTGGAACGAACGCGTCGAGTCTAGCTATCATCGTAGACCCCGTCATTGCAACCGGAGGAACTTGTGTGGCTGCTATACAGACGCTCAAGGAGTGGGGTGCTAAGCGCATTATTGTCCTATCTGTCATCGCAGCCGCCGATGGTGTGCGTCGCGCTGCTGAGGAGTGGCCTGAGGCTGTGGATATATGGGTTGCGGGCGTCGACGCTGAGCTCACACCGAATGGTATGCTAAAGCCGGGTGTAGGAGATGTGGGTGATCGCTTGTTCTTGACAATAGGAAAGTAAAGATACCAATGATACATCATCCGCATGAATAAAATAAATATTAGCTAGAATAGTCACCTATGTTGGCCATCTTGATCTTGATCATTATAATGGTGCATATCTTTCCTCGTCTAATATAGTCCGATTCTTCCAGCAATCCTCGACCCATTGTCGCGAGACTACCCTGGGAACAGGGGTTCGGGTGCTGATGAATGAGCGTACTTCTGCCGCTCGCTCCATCTCACCAATCTCACTATCACTTATTATTACCACATGCGTTGTACTTCTGTCGCCCAGATCGTCAATTATCGACCCTCCTCCATATTTGACCCAATTCTTCACCTTGAGACACGATATAGAAGAGACCTCGTCTGTTGCTGTGACGTGTATCCTTGCGCCCCTAAATATATAGCTCCTCAAACCGCTAATGTCGTGGTCGTGATCGGCTAGCTGGTTGAGGAATTCTTCCTTGTTAAACGGCTCTTCGACGATGACTTCCTTCTTTGGCATCGACTCGAGCAGTTGTCTCAGGTCCTTCAAATTTAGATCTCTGGCGTAACTGTCGCCAAATTCATCCACATTCTCCTCTGCGTGGCGCATCGTGGCCTCGGTGGCGTGGAAGATGTGTCCCGTCTCAAAGGGGAGGAGGAAGTCCCTGTCGCGTTGTGCAAGGCAATCCAATACCCACTTCGGTTTGATAATGTCTACGTCCCCAGCTTTCATCAGGCTGGCTACCTTGACTACTTTCTTTTCGCCAATAAGGAGCATGTTAGTTCCCGGATTAGCTCTCTGCTGTATCTTACCGCCATTCTCCTTTATTAGCGTCTCAAGCTGTGCCTTCGACTTCTTAACTGGGGATGTGCAATCCGTTAAGACGCAGAATTCTAGGCCTTCGAATACTTTGGTCTTCGGGCCCTCAAACATAGCCGGAGCGGTACTATCCTGACCCGCGATGACAATTTCCCTCTTAATTCGCTTGACCGCTCGTTTCCTGTGCGATTCCATTTTCATGGCCTTCTCCTCGTTCTCCCTTTCGGCTCGTGCCTTCATATCTAAGAAGCCCTGGAAATCTAAGCACGAATCCCAGCTTCTGTCAAGCCGCATGCCCCTGAACCGTGGGAATCGTAACGTAATGCCCTTGGCAAACTGATCTGATTCCCCGGCGCTGGCTGCTTTGACGGAAATGACAAGTGATTCGCTCGGGCGAATCCAAACGTCGGGCCGAAGAATCTGGTATTTATCTCCGCCGGCAAGTTGGATATATTCGCTCGGTGGCTTCTTTGGGTCCCAGGGCTTCCATTTCCCTTCTGTGAGATGTCGAATTTCGGCGAGATCTTCTGCACTGAAACCACCACCAACTTTCACGAAGCTGTAGCATGTTTCTGACTTCGCTCCAGCTTTGATGTCATTTTCTGAAGCACGAAGTCCGCAGAGAAACGAGCCTAATACGCCACCACGATGGCCAGATCCGTAGTACCCCCCAATGATAATAACTTCTACTGACTCACCGAAACCGCTCATATACTCCGGCTTGACTTTGATCCAATTGTCGCTACGGTCAGCGAGAGTGTACATTGACCTCGGGTTCTTGATAACTAACCCCTCAGAGGCATCCGAGACGATTTTTCGTAGCATTGGCTCTATCGTGTCCGCCGAGTTGGCCTTGTCATATTTGTGGACTTCTAGCCGATATGGTACTCCCGGGACAGCTTTTTCAAGCGCGTTCCGCCGGTCTCGTAGGGTGTATTGTGTTAACGGTTGGCCATTTAGGTAAAGAATATCAAAGACGCGAAGTACTGGTCGAGGTGCGTTGTCTTTATGGGGATTTCGCTGTTCCGCGATAGCTGCCGTCTTCAAAGTGCCAAATTTCAGCACTTTGTCAAGCTCTGGATCCCATACTATCATCTCACCATCCAAGATGATATTGCGTACGCCAGGAGCAAAGGCGTCCTTGAGGTGGCGGGTCAATGAAGAATTACCATCTTTAAAGCCCTCGCCGTAGAGGTAGGTGTAGTCTTTGGCCTTCCTGGACCAGAACTTAAATCTCTTGCCGCCGGGGACATCGTCGTCTTCTTCCATATGTAGCTGCATCCGCTCGCCATCCAACTTCTCTTCAATCCAGAACTCATCATCGCCTTCTACCCTATTTATTGAGTTGAGTTTGTCAACCATCTTCTGAAAAGAGGTGGACATCTGATAGTGACAGAGCATAGGCTGGAAGCACTGCATCAATGTGACACTTGTTTGACCATCCGTAAGACGGAATTTAGGGTCATAGAGATCCCAGCAAACTTGGCGGAGACTTGACGATACACTGAATAGATCCTGAGCATCAGGATGCCATAAATCCATGAAGGTCCTTTCCGTAGCTCCCACCCTCATCTGCTTTAAGATAATACGTATGAGCCATTTCAATTCTTCCGGATTCATGCGTTGATAGAAGATTTCGAATATCGGTAGCTGCTCGCTCTCACCGGACGCGGCCGCCAGCTTGTCTAACATCTCATTAACTTCAGCAATACGCATATCTCCAGGCTCTATACGCATAGGCCTTTTCGATAACACGTCGAAACATCTCCCAGTGAAGTCACCTGCGGCCCGGCCGGCTGTTGACTTGCTTGGCATCTTCCAGTGTAGAAGATCATAGCCATCTTCGGAATTCCTATCAATTCTCATCAACTTTACGAGTAGCCTGCTGATATTTCCCTCCTTGAGCCCGTACATCCCTCTGTCCCGGTCCGAATTGGATAGGATCAAGCGCATAGCAGGGTAGATGTCATTTCCCACCTCGGTGCGCCATCTTGATATGAAACGTTCAATGATGTTGCGTTTTTGCTCGTGCGGAGAGAGCTTGTTATGCTTCTGAGTTGCCGCTCTGGTGCGTGCAAGTTTAGGGCCGGCTTGCGGTTTATTGTCACTCAGAGGGTTGAAGAGATCCTTATACAAGTCTGAAAAGAATAGTGTTCTCGAGTGATTCTTTGGTCGGTTTGGATATCTCGAAAGTAAGTCAGTTTATATACCTTAGATGCCTAAGAAAGAAAGATATTAGAAGCTGATCCCCGATGACTTACTTTGCGTCTAGCTCTTGGAGCGTTTGCCCTCCCGTCTCATATTGACGGCGCTCCTCATCCTCGGCGCCCGCATCCCGTATCTTTCGACGCCGCTGGCTCATTTTCCTTGACTTCTCGAATCTAAGTGGACAAATTGATCAACGAATTTAACTTGAGTGATAGCCGTCTAATTGCGAATTTGTTATATTTGTTGGGTATGTAAGGTACTTCGTAGTTGAGAAGGAAGATGCTTGAACGAAGTACGTAGCATCTGGAATATAATTGTAGGCAGGTATAAAATAAAATAAACGTCACTTCATTCAATGTTTCAATTAATGTAATATCATTTCTCAATTTTATGTCCCATCATAATTTGGAAATTAATTGAACAAATTGCATGTAAAAGTTAAAATGCTTTTCAAAGACTTGCCTTTAGAAGGTGCAATTGATGTACCTAATGTTGCCTGGCTGCAACCCCCGGTGTTCTGCCTGTTGGCTCTGTCTGGAATGACGTCCATGTATCTTTGTACCTTTTACAGATTTAGCTTAAACTCTACTGGCTGCATTGCCAGTGCGGCTCATGCACATTAGATTTTGGTGTGGGGTTCCAATCAACGCGTGCAACCGCGACATGGACGATTTGTTTTATTTTTTCATAGAAGGTAATACCCCTACAACACAGGTCTCATGTATCTCCTGGCCCGCAGTCGGGGCAGGAACACGCTGCCGACCCTTGGACAAACACTCCCTCATAAATTAAACGAAGTCCAATTGACTCAATTGACTCAATTGACTTAATTGACTCAACAAAGTCTACAAACCCAGCAATCTCGAAATTCCTGTATGACTGCTGGTCTTTTTCGATTGCTGCCTTCAAGACCCTTACGTCCTCGACACTCGTTTCCACGCATACACACGCATGCAATCGCCTATTCCTCGGTCTCTCCTCTTATTACCATGTTAAGTAAAGCTGTAGACAAGAACAAGGCGACCGCATCCGCACAGCACGGCAAGAATAAACTCGCGAAGAGTTTATTTTCCTCAAGTAGCCCTTCCGCTCAAGATGGAAATATTACTCAGTGGGCATCATTCTCTCACGCGGGCCGTGCCAATTTGTCGTCAGACGGTACGTCTGGGTCTATGAAGGCAGCAAACAACAACAGTGAACCGTTACAATCCAAATCTTATAATGCAAAGCAACCTCGCCGTCAGTACAAACCAATTTCTCCTGTCACCTCAACTCGAAGCATCACCGAACGCTCTAGTAGCCTCGTCTCGCTATGTGGTAATGCCGGGTCATTCCGAGAAGCATCTTCGCTTGCTCGTGTTTCCCAGGGCAAGGCAGGCGCATCTACCTACTACGTAGAAGATGATTTTAGCGACGATAATACTTTGGAGTTAGACCTGGATTACCAACTTCCCGCGTCTCTCCCTCCCCAGCCAGCCGCACCGAAGCCCCGTGCGGACCCGGTACTTCAACCGCCTACCAGCCAAATATCATGGTCTTCGTCGCCGCAAGAGCATCGCCACCCCCCGCCAAACCCCCAGAGACCGTCTAAACGAGATTCGCCGGATGATAACTCGCAACCTAATCCACCTCCAATTAAGAAAAGGGCATTACCCCCGGGATGGACACCAGCACCAGCTGCTAATTCTGCGCCACCAGCCGAAGATGACACCGAGGAGGGGAAACACCCAGTTACTCCAGCCCCTAACAAGAACCAAGATTCGCTTTGGGATGCGACACAGAGCGAGATGAAGGAGCGTCGGAAGCAGCTCAAGAATCAGAATAAAAAGTCCGGACCTGATTCAGAGGAGATCCGTACCGCTACAGAAGACCACGCTAGACGCAAGGCCAAGGTTTCTGCCATTTCATTAAGTACCGAGCAACAGCAGGTAATCGATCTAGTCCTCCAGAAGAATCAAAGCGTATTCTTTACCGGTCCGGCCGGTACTGGTAAGTCTGTATTGATACGAGCCATCATCTCGGAGCTGAAGAAAAAGTGGGCACGAGATCCGGAACGTCTCAGCGTAACAGCCTCTACTGGTCTTGCTGCTTGCAATATTGGTGGTCAGACGCTGCATAGTTTCGCTGGTATCGGCCTCGGGAAGGAAGACGTGCCAACCCTTGTCAAGAAGATTCGTCGAAATGCCAAGGCGAAGAATAGATGGCTCCGGACGAAAACTCTTATCATTGATGAAGTTTCTATGGTTGATGGTGAACTCTTTGATAAGCTGGCACAAATAGCACGCACTATTCGAAATAACGGTCGGCCCTGGGGCGGAATCCAGTTGGTCATTACGGGCGACTTTTTCCAGTTGCCTCCTGTTCCCGATGGAGGTAAAAAGGAAGCCAAGTTCGCATTCGAGGCTGCGACCTGGAACACATCTATCGACCATACTATTGGATTAACACAAGTATTCCGTCAAAAAGACCCTGGTAAGCTATAACATCTTTTTATCGAGTCGTCTCATAGTTTATCTCTACTAATACCGGTTAGATTTTGCCAATATGTTGAATGAGATGCGTCTCGGTCGGATTAGCGAAGATACGATCCAAACGTTCAAGAGTCTGTCGCGGCCGTTAAACTTTGATGATGGTCTTGAAGTGACTGAATTGTACTGGCTTCCTCCCTAGAGAAGTATTGGAATAACGTGTGCTAACTTCGCCCTTAGATTCCCGACCCGCCAAGAGGTTGAGAGGTCCAATGAATCTCGATTACGCAATCTGCCTGGATCCATATATCATTACGACGCCAGTGATTCGGGCGAGCTTAAACTACGAGAGAAGTTGCTTTCGAATATGATGGCTCCCAAGGCTGTGGATTTGAAGAAAGGTGCCCAGGTTATGCTGATCAAGAATATGGACGAGACTTTAGTGAACGGTTCACTCGGCAAAGTGATTGGGTTTATGAACGAAGCTACATTTGAGATGTGGGGTGCCCGCGATGAGGAGGTTGGATCGGCTGACGAAGGCGACGCAGACGCCCGCTCAAAAAAGAAAATTAAAGCGTACAGTCGTGACGTTGAAAAAATAAAGGACAGCAAAGAGTATCCAGTTGTCCGCTTCAACGCGACGGATAGGACCCATAGAATTCTTCTTTGCATCCCGGAGGATTGGAAGGTTGAACTACCTACTGGCGAGATTCAAGCAGCGCGCAAACAGCTACCCCTTATTCTCGCGTGGGCTCTCTCTATCCACAAGGCCCAAGGTCAGACCCTGGAGAGAGTCAAGGTTGATCTTGGTAAGGTGTTCGAGAAGGGACAGGCATACGTTGCGCTTAGTCGAGCTGTGAGCAAGCAGGGGCTCCAGGTACTGCGTTTCGACAGTAAGAAAGTTATGGCTCACCCCCGAGTCATACAGTTTTACAACAGGCTTTACAGCGCGGAGTCTGCAATCAAGACAAAGAAACCAGTGACAATTTCAGACTTTGCTGCCAAGGGAACTTCGGGGTCTTCCAAGGGGAAGCATACGGATATCATTGATCTAGATGATGAAGAAGAGGCTATGGCAGCGTACGGTTAAGGGTGCATAATTACGAAGTGTAACGATGTATGCAATAGCATCTTCCATCGCGGCCGGCTTTTTGTGGCAAGCAACATGATTACTTGACACCAGCTTACTAAGGTCATAAAAGGAGATGAAATAAATAGTAAATATTAGAGCGCAGCATTGTTGCTAGTATACACGCATTAAGTGTTGTGGAGTATCTTGAATGAACTTGTTAGCCAGTATAAATGGTTGTTAGTTTTAATATTTTTAATATTAACTATACTAAAGTGAATACATCCTTACTACCTACCTATGTATAATATTCCGCACTCAGCTAGGAAATCACTTTACATGTGATTGGTGTTGTCACTGTGGGTCCAAAGGGTGTTATCGATAAGTGAAGCTTAGACTAATACTAGTTAATGTTGTCTAACAAACCAAAAAGACCAAAATATACAATGACTTATTTCTTTCTACCGGAGGCGGCATTCCGTTCAACTTTCAACGTACAAAGTATTCACGTCAAATCTGATCACCTGCTGTGCTTCCACCAATTAGGTGGTCCTCTATTATTGTTCTAGGTAACCACGGCTAAATAAACCTGTCAATTATACGGCCTGCGACGACTTTGAATGTTGATGCGACCTGATGCGGCAAACCTCCCAGCGCTGTAACCGTACTGATTTCTAGACTAATTCGGTTTCCCGTGTATCGACTTCGATTGGCGCGGCAACGGTGATAGTTGTAAAAGGATATTTCCCGAGTTGCAGCAATATAGCATTCGTCTCCGAGGTTACGGATAAGGGATACCTGTTTGTTCCTATCTACGAGTTTCAACGAATTCAGGCTTGTGTACCTTTCCGAACTCCTGACCATGGTTTAAGAATATCGACTGAATAAGCCTACTCCCGAGAAACGAGAAGACTACTGGTACTGTGAGATACAGATTAAGCAGCAGGATTGGTCGTGCGAGGAGTCTCACATGTGATTTCACAAATACTAGACACGTCTAGGAGCTGTTACCTTTCTTAGAGAAACCCAAGAGTTTACTGGTCGGTCGAGTAGGTGACAATGGCTGAGGATGCTAAATTATCGAAGTGGCTGGGTAGCTATTATATGGTAACCCTTAAAGAACCGTTCGGCCAACGTCTTCAGGGAATCCTAACTGGTCTTGTTCCTCAGCAACATCTTACATTAGACCAAGGTAAGTTCCAAGGTTCATAATAAATATCATCAAGAGGTCACCTAAATAGGAATATTGACTAACGTAAAGTAGCTGTGGCAGTAGGCACAAATCAATTCTTCGGGCATGTGGTCATCAGCGCGAGCAATGTTAACGATATTTCCCTAACCTCAAATCCTACTTTCACAACTGCTGAAACTACGACTACGCCTACTTCAACAACGGCGCCCCCCTCGGCCTTCCAAGATCCTGCAATCTTGAGCTTGACTCCCAAAACGAGCACAGCTCCTCCCCGCGACCCACGTTATCATGCTCAACCAAATATTGTAGAGAAGCGAGATCCTCCAGTCATCCCGAATCCTGCCGATCGCTTGACATACTCTTCCCCGGATGAGGTGACCGATGCAGCTACCACTACTACACTTAACGCCTCTACAGCGAGACTGCGAATTTCCCCAACTCCTCATTCCAGGCGAAACACCATAACAGAGCACAGGGCCCAAACAGCTCCCACTATACCTGACGAACCATCCGACCCCCGAAAAGACAACCGTAAAAGCACACGAGGTCGGGGTCGACGCAGGAATAAAATGGCTGATAGCAATGGTTCCCCAGCACAGCAAACCAACCGAGGCCCGGGTTGGAGAGAGACGCCTATCCTTGAATCTACTAGGTCATTTCAGCCGTTCGCAGCGCTAAAGAAGAGCCAGAAAAGTAGAGTAGAGGGAAATATCGAAAATGGCTGGGCTTCGGAGGACGTTACGGATGTGCAAGAAGCGGGAGACTTTGACTTTGAAGGCGGCCTTGCTAAATTTGATAAGAGAAAGATATTTGACGAAATGAAAGAGCAAGATCAAATCGATGAGGCCGAACGCCTGGTATCCCACAACCGTCTCCCTCGGCCGAAGCCTGGAACGGCGGGCGGGAAGAATCTTCATTATAGCGAGAATGTATTGGATCTTCCCTCGTCAGCATCCAAACCAAAAGACGCCCCTGGCGACTACTGGAAGAGTGAAGCCGATGACGACCTTGCCAACGGAGGCGATCGTGCTAGCGTAGTAGAAGGTAGCGGACGTAATTCTCGGCTACGGGGAGACTCTCGATTGTCCACGACCCGGCGTTCACAGTCTCGCAAGGCCAGCACCACAGCAAGTGTTGCTGGCTCGAGTCGAGTCAACTCAGGGGTAAATTCATTCTCTTTTGCTCCTCTTCTTTTTACGAGTTTAACTAATATGTTCTAAACAGGGTACCTCAACGCCTAGCGGGTTCTACACTGTTAGTTCTAATCGTCGGATCGAAGCCATCGCCCACCTCCCGATGCAGACGCTTGAGAATGTGGCGCGTCACGAATTTGGTTTTAGTGAGGACCTTTTAGCCGAAAATGCAGGCCGCGGCATCACAGAAGTCGTAATGCGTGTTCTTGACGATCCTGCCATTAGACTTCGTGCTGCCGCCGCGTCGCCGCCAAGTACAACCACTATAGTTGTTCTCGCTGGTAATAATAAGTCCGGAATCCGTGCCTTAGCAGCTGCCCGCCACCTTCGAAACCATGGGATTAACGTCCTGGTGTGTGTGGTCGGCATCGAGCGGGAGCGTGAGCTGTTGGAGGATATTAGGAAACAAGCTCGTCTCCTTCGCAACTTTGGGGGCATCATCTTCACCAAATCGGAGCTTTTCGAGCACGTCAGCCAAGCTAGTAACACCTTAGAGACAGCTTCGCAAGGCTTCGTCACTCTAATCATCGATGCACTCCTAGGACTCACAACACCATTTGAAGAGCTACGAAAGTCGGACCAGGCCACTACATATGAACTTATGGAATGGTCAAACAGAAACGAAGCTTTTGTTATGGCAATCGATCTACCAAGTGGTATCGAACCTCAAACCGGCCGCGTCAACGTCATCGACGGAGCTAAGCTCTACGTCCACCCCCGTTATATAGTTGCCCTCGGCGCACCGAAAGTTGGTCTATTAAAGGCGCTAGAGTCGGGCGATGACCGAGACATCGGCATGGTAGGGGAGTGGAAGCTATACCTGGCTGATATCGGACTTGGTCCGGTTATCTGGCGTAAGGTGGCGACTAAGATCCGTCGCGGTATCGATTTCGACGATAAATGGGTGTTAGAGCTACGATACCAACCTGAAAGAGAGGACGACTAGATTACTTATTTCTATATCCAACTCCGCACGAGGCCGGGTTGCATATATGACGTGCTTGGTTATTGCGGAATAAGCGTATATCTGTCTTTACGCCGTTCGCAATTGAGCAAGAGGCGTAATTTGCTCTTAGCGGGGTTCTTTCTAGTCTATACCTAAGGCTACAGCGTAAATGGTATATTTACAGTCTACGACCGTCATGATGGAGGAAGAGGTTGAAATCGAGGCTAGAGGGCGGCATAGGAACAGCATGTTAGTACGTCCGAGTACACTCGTACACTCAAGACCTGTGCATTTTCGACGGCGTTAGTCCGGTCTACATGCCTCAACATATAGGAACACCTTACGTGGTGATGACGAGGTATACAGGAAAGGTCATCCATTACTACGCGTATCATCATTAGCCCTAGCCCTAGGATAGGGCCAGCGAGGTTACAGCGCCGATCTTGGTCGGGTGAGATGGCAACGAATAAAGAATATATTTGTAATGGTGGTGTTAGGTATACTTCCGTGTCTAATGGCTACTATATACCTAATAGTGATGATAATGGAGGATGCTCTCGCCGTGATGCTGTAGCCCTAGATTCGTTTACAGGGGGAGGTAGATATATACATGTCTTACTGGTCTTACTAGGGGGGGTAGAGTATGTAATTCCATACTTCTGATAGCTTCCTCGGACTTCGGTGATAGACATTCAAGGATCGTCGATGATACCGAGCTTAGACTCCGATCTTATTCGGGTCTATGCCACCAGCAGCACGGAGCTTTACACTTTACATCCCTGCTAGCTTTAACCCTGGCACTCTGGTATCCAATAATATACAGAGATTTACTCAGCAAATCTGCATCGACAGGGGCCAGCTTAGGTAGCTATCACTTATGTATGTACATCCGATGGTGTCAGGCATGGCATGTTCCCCCCTCGTACGAGGAAGCTTCCGGGCCAATGTTTAACACTCGATTTGTTGCAGCTGCAGCTTGTGTATGTGTATGCGTCTCTATGTACAACACCTAGATAAAAGCAGGTTACCTTCCACGACATCTTCGAGCTTAGCTTGTACCCCTTCTCACGATGGAACCTCCGGTGAAGTATCAACCGCGCCGAAGCATCCTTGATAGACCTATACTCATTGCTATTCCCATCCTAATCGGGCTGTTCCTTACACGATCACCTTTCTTCATGACTGCTCCGGCTCTAGATCCTGCCACGGCGGGCAGTGTTGTTTGGGCTGATGCTCCTATCAAGTTGGTGACAACTCCTCAATTTGAGACTAAGAAGGTATTTCTCCCTGTTCCGTTTTTCTCTTACTTCCGGGCGACATATCACAAAAGTACCTAAGACAAGATCAGCATAATCCAACTAACACCACCCCGCCTCTTCGATAGACCGATATATTCACCACCGGCGCCACGCACATGGCCCTCCTGCACAACGCTATCCTCCGCGGTTACAACTCGGTGTACCAGCAAGCCCCGCACGTCAAGCCCGGCGACAAGGCCGACTTTATCGGGTACGCTTTAACATGGCACAAATTTGTAGCCTCGCATCACGACGACGAGGAAGCCACCTTATTCCCCAAGGTCGAGGCCGTCCTCAACGATAATACTATCTGGGCCGATACTCACAAGGAACACGAGGCGTTCTTGGGCGGACTGGCCCAGTTCGAAAAGTACCTCCGGGGCGTAGAACCGAAGCCCTTGACGTTCGACGGCGCGGAACTAGTCAAGATCATGGAGTCCTTCCAGGAGCCCTTTGAAGCACATTTCCACAGCGAGATCGCGACCATTGCCGCTTTATCAGACCACCCAAACGCCCCCGCGCCAGGATCCGCTGCGGCGGAAGAGGCTTCGGCTACGTTTAAGAGCTGGGGCAAGACGACGGTAACAAAGGCGGGGACCCTCGACGTGGTGCCGTTCTTCCTGTTGAACCTGGACGGCACGGCCGAGGACGGCGCGTGGGCGAACTGGCCGCCTATCCCGGCTCCTATCAAATGGGGGCTCGTGAATATTGCTGGCGCGTGGCACGGCCGCTGGTGGAAGTTTAGCTCTTGTGCGGGAGGGCGGCCGAGGAAGCTGTACGCGCTGCAGTAGACTAGAATTAGAGGACAATGTAAGAGGAAGGGGTTGCTAGGGGGGTACGGAGGGAGAAGTAGAGGAGATGGGGTTAAGTTGAAGTTAAAGCCTAACAAGGGAGGAGTATTATGATACCCAGGTTGCTTGGAGTCAAATGTTATGTTGATGACTTTTCAAATACTGATGTGTGGTTCCTTTCGTATGATAGCTATAGCTACCTAGGTAGGTAGGCACTTATACAATGTACAATGGTATACTGGCATTCCTATTAGCTATAGTCGATGACTGGAGCAATAATAATAGATAATCATAGTCTATTTATTCCGTCCATTCACCCGCCCCGAAATATTGCCCGTGCTTCATGACTTCGTATACTTGCTTGGCTGATAGAGCGTTTACAGTAACGTAACTAATATAAGCCGTATTTACTTTCGCTAGTTTATAAATTGTGAGAATATAGGCAACTATCCATTCTAGCCCGTTACTCTATAGAACAACAGCAGCAGAAAGTATATATAACCTCAAGGTAAAGGTAAAGTGTACATTCGTATTAGTTATACACTCTAGAAGATAACATTCTCTCACGCAAAAGCGGCAACAGCAGACAAACACTAAAACATCCAAGGTATCGTTAAACCTTTTACTCAGCGTCTAGTAACCTACTTAAAAATTTACGTACACGCGAAGGAGAAAGAAAAGTCTAACGAGAACCCGCCAACTTCCAACGTACCCTTATCTCCTCCGGAGTAACCCCCTTACCATATACGACGTGGGCTGGCTACCTACCTACCTATTTTGCTTAGGCCTTCTTCCTCAGGACGAAGATCTCGCCCTGGGCCTGGTTGTCGGAGCTGACGAAGAGTCGCTCGCCGGCCTGGTCCCAGCCCAGACCGGCAAGACGCCAGCAGGAGCTCATGGTCAGGGAGGGCGAGTTGCAGCTGCCCGGGTTCTGGGCGCCGATGATGTTCTTGTAGCCGGTCTTGCTGTCGGGTGCGGCTACGGGTTCGTACCCGCCGTCCGCGCTCTTCTTGAAGGGGACCTCGGCGACGAAGTATCCCTGGGCGGGCTGTCGGTCCCAGCTGCCGTGGAACGTGATGTACAGGTTCTCACCGGCGGGGTCGAAGGCGTTGGTGATGGGCGCCATGTGTGCCGGGAATGATAGACGCGGTGGGATAGCCTTGCCCTCGCACGAGGCGTCGTTGAAGGTCGAGTTGGGAGACACGACGAACTGCGAGCCAGTCTTCAGAGCAGTGTTGTCACGGAAGTTGGACGGTTCCCACACGGTGAAGCAGGTCGGGTAACCGAACCAGTTGTTCGCAAGGGGCGCGGCGGGGTCTCCGACTAAACGGTGATGGCAACATTAGTCTTTTTATTTTTATTTGCCAGGCTCTTTGAGACTTACGGTAGTTCAGCTCCTCAGCAGGGTTGTCGATGTGAATGTCCGACGACTGGCCGTTAACGGTTCTACTGAAGTCGTCTCCGCTGTTCTCGGCACCCCATACGTGGCCGTTGGGGTCGAAAGCAAGGGCAACTTCGTTACGTAGACCGTAGCCTAGCACGGTACCTTGGCTGTTGAATTGGTAGCCGTTGGCAGGCGCCTTGCTCATGTCGAAGACCTTAACGATGGCACGGCCGACACTCGGGTCGATAGTTGGGTTATCCCAGTTCGAAGCGGCGCCGACGGAGACGATGATCAGGTTCGGGTTCTTGGGGGAGACGAGGGTGGTTCGGGTCGAGTGAATACCCTGGCCAATGCCGCTAACCACGGTCTTCTGGTTCGTAAGCGTCAAGGCGGCGGCATCGTATGTCCATGACCAGGCTGTGGTCTGGGAGCTAGCGTAGAGAGTCTTGCCATCAGGTGTCAAGCTGAGACCGTGGTTGAGACCCGAGTTTTGGAAGAGGGTCTTGGTGCTGTTGATGCAACCATCCGGGCCGAAAGTGTGGGCTGAAATACCAGAGGTGGCTTGCAACACTAGCATGTGGCCGAGGGGGTCAAAGATGATAGTTCGGGGTTGACGGAGACCGCTGGCGATCTTGGTCACCTCCCAGCCAGAATCAACCGTGTAGGCATATCTGGGAGCAGCAACGCCAGAGCAGCTGCTTGGGAAAGGGAATTTTGGGGGGTCCTGCGATAGAACTGACGTATATGTTATTAGTGTTGCCCCTATTGTTTCTATACTACAAGTAGCAAAAAGACTACTCACCCTGGCCCACTAGGGCAGCCACCACCGAAGCCGTCGTCAACAAACGCATGTTGATATACGATCTATGACAAAGTACAGTATTAAGTAGGTTAACCTCTATCACCTGACGTAACGCGAAGTCCTTTGAAAGAGCTAGGACAGAGTAGGTTATAGAGGAAGTATCGTGTTATATAGCAGCAGATCTACAGCTTCTCCCTACAACCCACTCCTAATGATGTAACGCCATGCTCCGTAGGAAGCCATCTTAAATGCGGAGAGTCCACGAACCGGGATTCTTGGCGCTTTGAAGTAATTAATAGGCAGGTATCTTGAGATGACCGCCCAAGGGGAGACGAGGGCTGATTGGACATGCTGTTGACAGGTCGATCTCTTTTAGGCAATGGGGATCAAAATTTCCTTATATAGCAGCCATTACACCATGTCGACCTAAGCAATAGGATATGTAATAATGGATATGACAAAATAAGGTGTTGTTGTTTTCGGCCTGCGGAGGCAGATCTTTTATTGATGTAATTAGGCGGAAAGACAAAATGCAACTCCACAAGATCGAGTCTCGCCTGGGGTCCCCGCAGACACTCGCCTCTCACCGGCAGATGTAGAGAAGGATGCTCAGTAGTGTAACAAATAACCGGGACAATAGAATAGGCACGCCTAAACATCACTGTCAAACAGGCAACCCGTTAGGAACGAGCGGCATGAACTACCAAGACGGTGTCGTAAGCTTGGGCGATATACTCTTGAAGACGAGATATTTTTAATACGCAGTGACCTCACCACACCTCTTCAAGACAGCACTCCATTAGCTGCTCGTGGCAAATAGGCCGTATAGGGAGTGGCAGTTAATATGAGGAATCGGACTGCGAATATTTTTGATCTTATGATGGAGATTATTATCGCAAAGCACGTTCTAATACCGCACAGTTCTTGGGATCTGTCAGACGCGGGCACCTTCAAGAGTTGACTTTCATAACATATCGTTAGTCCGGAGACGTCTTCGACCCGTCAGAATATTGTGCAATACTCTGTCCAATATGGAGCCAAGTTGAATATACCCACGAAATCGTAGTTTCAAGCTCGTCGTTGGAGGGAACTAACTTCCTTGCAAGTAGATATCGCTATACAAGTATAAGAATCGTGATAGACAGGAACTCAATCGAGTAGAGTCATGACGAGTTCGAAGACAAAACTCGGTTGGCGCGGCTATGAGTTTTGATATACGAGACAACAGGTCCTCGCGCCACTGTAGTTATCGTCGACAAGCTGCCACTGAATAGACATCGAAGGAAGCCCTTGTCTGAAGACAGTCGATGAATAGCAAAGGCTAGCTATATCCTAGATGTGCCTCAACCGAAACCGTATGAGATTCGTACGGCAATCTTCGAGAAACATGGCGGCACGCATAACATGGCCAGTGTTCTGGAACATTGAAATTCTGGAGAAGTTCTGGGGAATTTCCAAAATTCGGGTTGGCCCTAAAATCTATTTTTATGAATCTGAACCTTACACTATTACGGAATACATGTATGTAAACCTTAGGTACCTCTTTGAGCCACTTGTGCTAAGCCCCAGCTGCCCGGAAAAAGATCTTCGCCGTTGTGTGGGTCTAGATAACATATGTACATAGTAGCCACCTGTTAAATCATAAGCCCTTCTCAGCTTTAATGTTCCAAGGGATGATAAGTACCAATTGTATAGTGCATGTTCTTTATTATGTAAAACCCTGATTAGTTATTAAGAAAACTTTCCTTACTTACTTATATAACATTTTTTCGGAAGAAAATTTTTATTTTTAAATTTAAATCGGGGGGAAAGGCTTAAAATTTAAAAATATAAATTAATATATAATAAAATTAATAAAATAAAATTTTTAACCAATTAAATTATTTACATTATTAAAACTTAAAAAATATATTTAATTAAATTATTATAATATAAATATAAATTATTATATAAAAAAACTAATAAAATAAAATATTTAAATTAATATATAACAAAATTAATAAAATAAAACTTATAACTAATAAACATTTACTTATAATAAAAAAATAAAGTGGTAATAAAATTAAACTTTAAAAAAACGCGTTAAAATACATTAAAAAAATAAAGAAAAATTGGTTATAAAAATTAAACCAATTAATAAAAGATAAAATAACTTATAACTTTAATTATAAAAATAAAATAGTTTTAATTATTATTATTATAATAAATAAATTAATTAAATAAAATATACACATTTTATTAAAAACTTTAAATTTATAACTTAATAAATAAACCAATTAAATTAATTATAATTTTAATTTAATATTATTTTAAAACGTTTACGTAATTTTATAACAAATAAATACGTAATTTATTATTTAACTTTAATTTATTTTATTACATTTAATTAGTTAATAATTAAAATAAATTATTTAAATAAATAAAAATTTTATCGAAATAAAAGATAAATATAATATAATTTTTTAAAATAACCTTTTTATATATATTATTTTTTTTTTACTTAAAATTTACCTTTTTTTATTTTTTATACCTTTTTATTTAATTTTTTTTAATATTATATATATATTATTTATTTATTAATATTATAATATTATAAATTTTATTTTTATTTATTATTATTAACTTTATTTTATAATATATATTATCTTATTTAATTTAATTTTTTTAAATTACTTATATATATAACATTTTTTTTTTACATTAAAATTTAACATTTTTTACTTTTTATATCTTTTTTTTTAATTTTTTTTAATATTATATATAAATTTTATATTTATTAATATTATAATATTATAAATTTCACTTTTAATAATTATTATTAACTTTACTTTTAAATACATATTAATTAATTTTTCTTTTTTTAATTAATTTATTTATTAATTTAATTTTTTAAATTAATTTATATATATAATATTTTCCTTTTATTTAAAATTTAATCTTTTTTATTTTTTATACCTTTTTTTTAAACCTTTTTTAACATTACCCACATATTTTTTACTTATTAATATTATAATATCGTAAACTTTATTTTTAACTATAACCGTTAACCGTATATTTAAATATATATTAATTTATTTATTTTTTTTTAAACTAATACATTTATTAATTAATAACGATTTATATTTA